AAGGTTTTTTATTTTTATTTATTTATTTTTTTTAATATGAAAATAAAAAACAAAAAAAAAAATGATAGATTTTGAAACAAAAGATTGATAAAAAAAAGTCTCTATTGATTTGCTATTACATCCTCAGAGTCAGTCATGCATGGCCTTACGTATCATTGTTTTATTGGCAAGGCATCTTCAAAAAGTTAAACTTTAGGACACGATCATGCTCATCTCATGGCATGGCTGGATAATGGGTTTTTGTCTTTTCGATATTGATAGAATTTTGATAGTCTAGTTGGAATGAAAATCATATGTAATTTAGTCAATTCATAATATTTTTCGATTCATAGTCAATATAGCTAGTTTACAGACTAATTCGGTTGTTATAAAGTCTTTTTTTTTTTTACAATAAATTATTTTAAAAAAATTTACATCGCGACACCGGATTGCCAATATATATCACTCGATATTCCTATACCTTTATGCAATTACTAATATTCACTTTGTTTGGTTCTAATTTTCTAAATTCAATTTTTTAAAAATTGAATTTTTTATTTTTTATATTTTTTTGTTTTTAGTGATTTTTTTTATTATTTTAAGAAAATATTATACTTTTTAAAGACACTTAATATACATACATAAAAGTATAATATTTGTGAAAAAAAAACTTTAAACAATTCACTAATTACCAAAAATATTAAAATATATATATATTCAATACATTTTTGTATTCTTGTATATTTATTGATTTTTTAAAATATTTTTTTTATAAATATTTTACTTTTTAAATATATCTAGGTTAAATGTGTCTAAAAAGTAAAAAGAATCACTAAAAAAAATGCGATAAACAAAAAAATTATTTTTTAAAAAATTAAATTCTAAAAATTAAAATCAAACAAAGTGATTGGTCCTTCCAATATGTCTCTCCATATTGCTATTTGAAATCATGACTCATCTTTATCCATAACTTGCAAAATTATCTTACTTTTGAGCAAAGTAGAATGTCGGGATTGAGATTGTCATAAATATTAGGTGTGAACTTATATGATAGGAAATAAATTAATTTGAGTTAAATCTCACCAAGAAAATTTGAATACCTTAACCAAAGCCAAGTAATTACACAAACAAACTAACCTCTCCAAATGAATGGAGTAATAAAAAATAAAATTAAAATATATATGGAAAAAAAAAAAAACCAACAAACAAACAAACAGCTCTCAGGGATGCTCTCAAATTGTGAGCTTCTTGAAATATTACATGCAAAACAAATATAGAACAGTTCTAATTTTTTTTTTTTTTTTTTTAATGGGATTGTATTTCTTTTGTAATTTTTTTCATTATTGCATGATAAATTGAGGGAAAACGCCACATACAATTCAGATCAATTTTCAAAATCACTTTAGTGTTTGGTTTAATTTTGGAACCCCGATTTCAATCAAAAAATTTCAAAACTCTTTCAAAACTTATAATCCAGCACTTAATTCAAAACTTTTTTCCAAATTCAAAATTCAAAACTCTATTTTTAAACCAAAAAAAAAATTCAAAAAAATAATTTTTATTTTGTTCTTTAAAATTATTTTTTTTTTGAAAAAATATTTTTAGAAAATATTTTTTATTTTTATTTTTGAAGAAAAATGTTTTTTATTTTTTTATTTTCAAAAAAAATTATTTTTTTATTTTCTTAAGTATTGGCTAAATAATTTGTTATATATTGGCCATCAAAAAATTTTCAAAATATGCAAAAAAAATAAAATAAAATATTTAAAATAAAAAAATAAGAAAATATTTAAAATAAAAGTTATAGATTTAAAAAATACAGCGCACATTAAAAAAAATAAATATTTACAATAAAAAATATTTATCCTAAAAAAATAAAATTAAGAAAATTTTTAAATATTTAAAAAAAATAAACCCAAAACAATTTCAAAATACAATTCAAAACTCATTTTAAAAACTTATCTTTTAAAATACAATTTCACACTCAAATTATGATTCTAAAACTAAACCAAATGGAACCATCATCTAGGTACTACTTATTTATGACTATATCTTAACTTGATCACTGTGCTTTAAATTAGTAGTTATTTGTCTAAATCATAGGATCCACCACTTTCATATTAAAATTTTAGGAGATAAAGTATTAAGTGTTAATTTATGAATGAAATAGAGAAATACTCCTGAAGTATTGAATAATTTTTCTGATCAGCATGTGTAATGGAAGTTTGAAAATCAATGAAGAAATATGTTAATTAAATGATGGGATGATTTAGATAGGGTCTGACTTTGGTCCAGTCAGTTATCGGACTGGATCGTGCTATTAGGTCTGTAGGGGTTCATCACGGGTTCCGTTTTGAAAATCTGAACCGTTTAATGTGTAGAAATCGTCGAGTACTATATGTCTGTGAAAAATCACATTGATCGGATATCGATAGCTATGTGATCAAATCAGTTTTGTATAAAAAAAAATGGACGGTGAATAAATTAACGATGGATAAAAAACTATTTTGATTACTTAGCTATCGATATCTGATCAACGTGATTTTTCACAGGCATATAATACTCGACGAGTTCTACACATTGACGGTTTATATTTTTAAAATGGGACCCGTAGTGAGTCTCTACAGACCCAATAATGCGGTCCAGTTTGATGGTCGACTGGACCAAAGCCAGGCCCATTTAGATAAGAGTAGTTTTATAGTCCGAGGACAAAAAACTAAAATTTGTCTAGAATTGCACTGAATGGCCAAGATTTATTCATCCTCTGATCCCACATCAACGAGTTTAAACCTCCACCACAGATCCAAAAAATTGGGTAATTTCTAGGTCTCATCTTGGAATGAGTCTGGCAATTTCCAATATTTTAATTTCTCATGGGTCATTAGATATTACATTATATATCAACAATATTATAAAATTAAAAAATTTATTCAAAAATACAACCAAAAAAGACCGATTGTCAATGTAATTTGTTTTAAGTGTCAGTCCTACTATATTGTAATTGAATCTAAACTACGCATCACTTTTTGAGATTAAAAATTATACAAATTACAAACAAACAAAAAAAATCATAGAGGTTGATCCTAGTAACAAAATAACTTTAAACACTAGAGATTGATCATGAGTTTTTTATTTTATCAATTTAAACTCTCATTATTTGATTTGTTTTCAATTAAAACCATTTACTTGTTCTTATTAAGCACTGCTAAAAAACAGACTTTTAGTGGCGTTTAAAAAACGCCGCTATATCTATCAAAAACGCCGCCAATTCCTTTCGCGACGTGTAGTACGAAACGTCGAGGCTGCCGCCGTCGCTGTATCTTTACGACGTTTTAAAAACGTTGCGATATTAGAAATGCCGCGAAATGTCCCTACCATAACATCACTATGATTTTAGCGACGTTTTCAAAACGCCGTGATATCTTTTTAAAAAAATTGACAGTTTAGGTGGCGTTTTAAAAACGCCTTGAAATCCACTTGTTTTTTTTTTTTTTAAATTGTGCTAATTTTATGTGATTAAACTAGAAAAATACCTGTAATAAAATTGAATAGCCTTAATATGAAATAATAACTCCCATTCAAATAATAAATGCAGTATTAATTCACTTTCCTATTCAATTTAATATCCAATCATCATTACCCACAAAATAACATATTCAAATATTAAATTCACAATTCTCAACCAAAAAAGCAGCAGTCCTATGGCAGCAAAAATCAACACCAGCCAAAAGTCACACACAGCCTTGTTCTTATCAACTAGACCAACTTGTATTACAAAAGCTTTTGTAAGATAATTTGCTCCCAAAAAATGAAAAAATGGATCATTATCCACATCCATACTAGATCTACCAGGTGTCTCTGGAGTATAAATTGCAGGAATCACATCAGGCTCCCTAGCTAAGAAGACAATGTTCACCACCCCATAATTTCCACTTACAAATGGTTGGTGCTCATCATGCCGCCATTCTCCATCAACAAAAAACTTGTACTGCACGGAAATAAAAACAACATATCTAAACATCAGATACTAGAGATAGAAGTACACTTTTAGGATTGTTGATGTAGATGAACTCATCTCTTTGACTAAACACTGAATTTCATGATCAATTTGTTAATCTTGCACAATATCTCTGTGAATATCATGTCCATTATATACAATTTTGAAAGAATTAAAATGTATAAAATGCATACACCATTGTGCAACTATGGGATGCATGTTTACTTTCTTCAACCTGTATAATCTTCATATAACACAACAATATGGTGTCTCATTGAGATTTATATGTATTAGCTGCCTGTGTTATAGCAAACATACAAAGCCTTTTAGCTAATTTATAGTCTTTATTATTTGAAACAACAAATCACCCTCTTTAGCGGACAAATTGTCCATGGATCCATTTTCAGGAACATAAAGTGGCTCCAATTTCTGCTAAGCATGGGGACCCACCAATACTGATATATATTAAAGTATAAAACATTTTAAGAAGAAGAAGGTGTACAATCCAAGTTAAAATTCACAAAACAGATCACCAAGCTCTTTCAACAGTGCAAGCTTCTAAGATTACAGTAGAAAGTAGAAAATGAAGAAGAAAAAAAAGAAATTCAAACAAATCAAATATACCTCAACTTTCCCAAATCTTCTTCTAGACATCTCACATGCTCAGAAGCCTCTTCTTGGGCCTTTTTTGTAGCTTCCTGTAATGAAATATTAACAAATAGGTTAAAAACACCGAAGTAAATATAGAAGTAGACACGACCATCTATTCATAAGGCTTTTTTTTCAAATAGGTCTTCCCTACCATCATCTGCAAGAACCAAGGAGTAAGTTGAATTGGCTGATGCAAGGAAATAACCAAAAACAAAATAATGCCTATATCCATATAATGCCACCCCCAATCATCAGGAACCCCCAATGAGGGACAGATTTGAGAAAAATAATGCCTTCAGAAAACAAATGATGATGAAGAAATAAAAATCATGTATTCAGCACGCTGATCCACTTGCCCATATCCATGTAATAAAACAAGCAATTGAGGAGGTGGAAAAAAAATAATGACTTCAAAAAATAATGTTGTTCCATTAGTCACTATCCCTATAAATATAATTAATATACAGCTTTCACATTGTCCATCCATCTCAAAGAATCTCAGCAAGTACTATCTGACTTCAACTATATTCAGACACATTCTAAAAAAAAATTCTCAAAGACATGCCACTATATTAAGCACACTTACAAAACAGCAAGGGCTTGCATTAGACCTATCACCTCTGGAATTTTCCCTGTCAGCCTATTTCCTTACAGAGATCTAATAACAAGAACCATAAGCACAGTAATGTCATAATGAAAAACACGAAATGCATTTTGTATTAGAATTCAGAAATTAAGTGCATATCAATTTTAACTTCAATTGACCTTCCTTGAAGACAACAGAAGAAGAACATTTCTAGCTTCTACTTCTTCCACAAAAGAAAAATATAAAGTGGAGTAAGAGAACTCACAGAGTGGCCACTTGTAGAAAGCCAATATTGTATGGAATCTCCCCAGAGATCTGATTGTATGAGATATCTCTGAAAATCATACACTACAATTTTAACCAAAAATGAAAAGAAAGAATGTATTTCCGTAGTAGGGTAGTTATCATTTAAGAAACTTACAAGATCTCAAAGCTTGTACAATTGCCAATGTTATCAGGGATTGTTCCAGTTAGGTTATTGCCTCTTACATCACTAAAGAGATCAAGGAAGATTTCAATGTCCCCATGGATATGAAGCAGAAAGCAAGTAGGAAGCACAGAAAAAGCCCAAAGCAAGCATAACCAGGAAGTGAACACTCACAAATACCACAGGCCAGTCAGTTGGCACATATCTGGGGACAGGGTTCCAGTTAAAGAATTGCCACGTAACCCTCTGCAAACATAATTACCACCAGATGATAGACGAACCAATAGTTTGTCCAGAGTAAAACTATAAACCAAATTAAATGTTTAAGTGTTAATAGCATCAAGGGTTGATAATGAAATTGGATTTTATCTATCAGTTGTTAAACCGTAATTGATGTAGTACTTACAGATATTGTAATACTTCATTCCAATAGATTAACCTCGGTATCTCACCAATAAGCTGGTTACGAGCAAGGTCCCTACAGAATAAATTTACACAAAGACAAGGCATACATATATATTAGCACAAGTGTCTATGGCTTTGGTGTAAATAAAATCAAAAAAGCATATGGTAATGTTAACTGCATGGACTCCACTAAAAAATAAAAAAATAAAAAAATTATGACTCACAGAGTTTTGAGCTTGGGAATCTGTGTTAATGTTGAAGGGATAGGACCAGTCAATTGATTGTTCTTCAAATTCCTGCATTTACAGAGCTTATTCAAGCCCTTGGTTGGCAGAACTAAAAACTTATCTATCTTAAACAATCCAGCATATTTAATTAATAGTACTTCACTTCAGGTATTAACTTACAATAACTCAAGCTGCTTAAGCTTGGATATTGAGAATGGTATATCTTCATACAGTAAATTATCAGATAAATCCCTGCATTATGGAAACCCAACCATTAACATAAAAACTAAAAATCTTAATCAGTGATATTTTTATCAGTAACAATTGTCATAAAACACAAATGGCTATTAAAACATCACATTATGCCTTCACATGCTTACCAATACTTTTGATGCATTAACTAATATTTCTCTTATATATAAAGATTGATAGATAGATAGACAAGTAGATAACATATAAATATATATGTCCGAAAATATGTAGTACACATCAAAGTTCTCGCTGCGTCAAATTAAATAACATATGTTTTCCACTCTCTTTTTTTATTTTCTTGGCTATTGATAAAGCCAAGAGATCATATAACAATCCATAAACAAGTAGATGCAATAGCAGAGTAGCGGAAATCTTGACCAACCACAGATTTTCACACACAACATAGCAAACAAACACAGACTACTCACAAAGAGAATGCACAGCAATCTCTTCCATAGTATTATGTAGAAGCAGCACAAAACAACATTTCCAGACCTGGGAACTCCATAATATCCTGCAAACAACATCCACAACAGATCATCAAAGCAAAAGACAAAAAGAAAGGCACCCTTAGCAGCCGAGACACTCTATGCATGACAAAAGAGGTTCAACTTGCTCAAACAAGAACTTGAGTTAGACCATCTCCTCGAACATATGTTACATAGACTCGGATATGGATGTTTGGTATTCGCCAACTTGGCAAAATAAGGGTTATATTTTTATATTTTTAAACTATTAAGTGAGATGAAATGGTATCATATATAATATAGTGTTAAAGAGGAATTTGATTTATAGACAGCAATATATATATATAGTGTTAAGTACATATCTCACACCATTGTTTATTTGATTTATTCTAAAGAGTCCATGTAACGTGCCTGAAACTAGCTATCTTAGTTATTGTTCTAAGAGGATTAAAAATGTAGCTAGTGGTTTGGCTAACCAAACATGAAAGAAATATTACTTTTCTATTTTAAAGATGTTGTGTTGAGTAATTCACGAGTGCCAACCCAGAAGTGCTCAGGAGGATTTATACAGAAAATTCTCTCAAGTCAGGCCAGTAATTCACGAGTCATGCTGTGCAAATGCTCAATAAAGAAAAAGAATAAACAATTCTCTCAAGTCAGGCCAGTAATTTTGATAACCATTACATGTAGAAAATCTTAAACTAGTAGTAAAATTTAAGCTTTCATTCTGACATTCATTGAGATATCCAGCTGCTGTTTCACATACATTTTCAGCAACAGGACCCCATAAAGAAAAAGAAAGGGGAAAATAGTCAGTTGTCCACAAAATCTAATGGGAAAATAACCATTAGTCACGTCTAACTTTGTGAAATTATAATTGAGGTAACCTTAATAGGATAATTACGAAACAAGTAATGGTAGCCATGAAAAATAAAATAGGGAGTAAAAGTTGGTCAAAAATTCAAGTAGGGTAATAACCCAAACCACTTCAGTCACCGCATCAACAATAAGGATACACAACTGTTTAACTTGAATTTCTAGGATATGCAATTGTTTTCTCATTCTTTCCATTGTGTTTGATGAGAAACGAAGAGCTATGCATTATGATGAATACATAGATATATATAAGGCAACTCATTCTTTCCAATAGTGACATCTACACAAGGTGCTCCCGATCAATGAGGCCGCACAAAAATAGAAGGGTATGACTGACCTTTTCTTTAGAAATGATAGTTGCACAAAATTAAAACAATGAAAATGCACAGAAAATATAATCTGTGGCTGAGATAAGTTACCTTTCATTTTCCCTTTTTCAACAGATAAGCATGCTAGCTCTATCATCATTTCCACAGATATGTATAAAAACTATATCTCACATTCAGATAAGCATAAAAGCTATATCTACATCCTCAAAAGAAGAGTTGACCAACAGAAATGGCATTTTGAATCTCAGCACACATGGCAACAGCCTCTTCAGAGTCAATACCCTCCTCTGGTTCATCTTCTTCGATCAACCTGTCCTTATATCCATCCAAACCAGACCCAATTACCCTCACCTTTGACACCAAAAACCACTGAAACAAAGCAAACACAATCCCCACTAAAGCAGCCACAGGTATCACAATCTGTGTTAGGTTCTCACCCATCAAACCCATTTCAAAAACACTCCCAAATGTGTTCTGTTTTTGGAAACTACGAGTCTATGGTGGCTTGTTTTGAAGAACATACAAAAATTTTGAAACTAGAACAAGAGAAGATAACCTATATATCTATTATCCAAAGGGTATAATAAAATTAGTGGCTTTGCTTTGCATTGGGTCCCTATTTAGGAATTTGATAAACAAAAACAAAAACAAGGTTGGTTTGATTGACAGGTAGGCCAGTGGTGGTTTTATTCCATGGAAGCTGCTTGAAAAAAAAAAGGTAGGTTTGATTATCAGGTAGCCATTTCACATTTGGTGGTATTTACCAATTTTACTTTGAATTGAATAGATACTTCTACCCAAATTCCACCTTCCTTGTTAAGACCTCATTATCATTTAATTATGCAAAGTTTGAAAATTCCATATCTCCAGATAAGAGGAGGTTCCATTTGTTTGACAAATAACAGATGCAAATCAGCCTTAAACTTTATTAACTTGCGCCTCTGAAATGCATTAAGCCACTGCTAACATATCAAATCGCAAACAAAGGGACTGAAATGTAATCAAAACAACATTTAAACAATTGAGATATTTAAGCACAACAAAAAGTAAAGTTGCAATAGAAATGATGATATGACACACAATCTGACCTCACATCCAACCCTAGGAGGAGATTCAAGACTGTAAACCCTAGGAGAAGAATCAGCGGAATGAAGATTTTGAGAGAAAGAGAGAGAACTTCGACATCGAAATCGAGATTGTAGACAGTAGTGCTCACCTTAGTAGACGATGCAGATGGTGGTGGTGGTGGTGGTGGAGCTTCGAAATCGATAGAGAGAGAGAGAGAGAACTTCGAAATCGAAATCACCGAGCTGAAGAAGGTTGAATCGTATCTTCCAAATCGATATTGAAATCGATTCTGCTCTACGAAATCTATTTTGCTCTACGAAATCGCAATCACTCTAAGATTGGATCACGGAACTTCGATATCGAAATCACTTTAACGATTTAGAGAGAGCGAGCGAGCGAGATTCATAAAGTGGTGTTTCTCAGATTTGAGTGAGTGAAAGTGAGAAGAAGGGCTTCTCAGATTAGAATGAGGGTTTGAAGAGGGAGAGAGAGCGCGTGAGAGTGGGACACATTCGAAGGGGTTTCCAAACGGATTAAACGGTGCTGTTTTATTAAATTAAAATGTGGGATACAATCGAAGGCGTTTTTAAACAGGTTAAATGGTACTGTTTTATTAAATTAAATTGCGACGTTTATAAAACGTCGTTAAATATTAGAAAATGTGGCATTTAAAAAAACGCCGTTAAAAAAGCGCCACTAAATCACACATTTCCTGTAGTGAAGCAAAATCAACAAAAAAAAAATGGTATTTGAATTTAATGACAAAAATATCAAGTTTTTTCTTTAGTTTTATTTAAAGAAAATAGGTAAATTGTTTAAATTGAAAATAAATAAAAAAATTTAAATTTAAATTGATACAATTACAATTTCAGAGTTTATTTTATTATTGGATCAAAACTTGAATTTTTCAAAATAATTTCTCCTAAATTTTTTTTATAATTTTCAATTGTTCCTAACTGTGGGGACATATTTTCTGAGTGCCAACACGTGGCCAAGGTGACGCCGAAGTGTCAGCCGAGGTACCATGTGTCCTGGTCATGACGCCGAAGTGATCTCGGGTAGGCCGAGGTTATTTTCGAAGATATCGGAGTCCGGGATAAGCGGATAAGGGACAAGAGTCCTAGAATGAAGAATGACCTCAGCCTGGATAAGGATAAAACTCTTAGAGAGTTTATCTTTATCTATTGGAGATTCCAAGATAAGCACTGAGCTGAAGTCCATTGAAGCCAGGCTTCTATTGGGACTAGGATTGAGTTGGTTATAAAAGAGAGGCATTCCCATGGGTCTAAGGTACACAATTTATATTTTAAATAGTGAGTTAAGCACTTTTGCTATCTTTGAGAGATAACTGACTTGATTGTCGGAGTGCCCCCGGGTGGACGACCCACCGTCGAAATCTCTTCTTTCTGTTAAAGGTCGTTCGAGCTTAATCTATTCTGCCAGTATTCTCCAGCTGATTGCTTAATTGGCAGTGTGGTTGGAAATTGACATACACAATTAGGCGCCGTCTGTGGGAAAGAAAGAAGAATAGAGGGTCAGCGACGGATAGAAAGAGAAGGTTGGGGACAACACCCCTATTGGGAGTGGGAAACCTGTAGACCTTGACATCGAAGGAGACAACTGCAACAGAGAGACTCATGATAAGAATCACGAAGGAAAGGATGTCGGCTAGGAAGGCGATGCACCAAAGAAAACGGACTGAAGTGGGTACTACAACGAGGACGACCTCCAAGTATGGAAAGAAAGATGCCTGCGGAGGGACGATGAGGTAAAGGCCATGGCGAACAAATTAGCGGACCCACAAACAGTGGTCAATTTCATGATACAGAATAACGTCATGCACCCACCATACCCACTGCAAGATACGCCGATTCCAACGACAAAGAAAGATGCCCAAAAAGTGGGGCAGAAAACAGTCCCTACAGTCCCTCAGCACACCAGGGCCGATAAACATTCTCAACGGCCTTCAAGGGAGGTCGGGCCAGAAGAGTCAAGAAGGGAAGAATCCAGGAGGACGCATCGCACCAAGGAAGCCGACCCCAAACAACATCGGCATGTTCAAGGGCAAGAGTTGTGCTTCGACGCAACTAATGGAGAAAGGTCCAAGAGGACTCACAATGACATAGACAGTAGTGCACCGAAAAGGCTGAAATCCAGAGATAGCCGAGCTCCTGGGCGGACCAAAGAGGACTTGAGAGATTATCTCAAGAGGAAGTAACAAAATGCCGAGGTAACTTCCCTTGTTAAGCCGAGAACACCATTCTCGGTGGAGTTGGACAAATTTGAGGCTCCGAAAAGATTCAATATGCTGAGGTTCCAGATATACGATGGTAAGTCGGACCCCAACTCTTGAGAGATTACCTCAAGAGGAAGTAACAAAATGCCGAGGTAACTTCCCTTGTTAAGCCGAGAACACCATTCTCGGTGGAGTTGGACAAATTTGAGGCTCCGAAAAGATTCAATATGCTGAGGTTCCAGATATAGGATGGTAAGTCGGACCCCAACTTTCACGTCGGATTATGCCTGAACTCGATGGCATTGTACACTGGGAATGAGCCGTTGTTGTGCAAGGTGTTCCTCTCATCCTTCAGGGAGATTGCATCGGATTGGTTTCACAAATTGCCGAAAGGAAATGTGAAGACCTGGGAAGGCCTGGCCGAGATGTTCGTAGCCAGGTTCGTGACAAACAAACTACAGCCATTAAGCGTAGACGCCCTGATGGCTCTGAGAATCAGTGAGGATGAAGGCCTTAGGGCCTACGCTAAAAGGTATTATGAGGTGTTCGACCGAATACGCGAATGCAACCAAGAGGTGGCGGTCGTGTCTTTCAAGAACGGCCTAAAAGATGACTGTCCACTACGAAAGTCTTTGGCAAGGACATTGCCAAAAAGCATGGAGGAACTCATGGCCAGAATTGAGAAATATGCCAGAGCCGAGGAAGACACGTCAGGGACCAAGGCGGCAAAGCAAGAGAAAGAAAACGGCTCGCCGAACCGAGACTGAGGTAACAGCGGATCCAATTAGCAAGAGATAGGACTGAGGATTGCACAGGCAGTCACAACTGTATTCTGAATCCCAATTCACAAAGTCCTGGATAAAATCCGAACCCAACCTTATTTTAGAGCACCAGTAAGGGTACCAGGAGAGTTTATGGGAAGAAGCCTTGGTAAGCATTGTGCTCACCACGATAAAGATGGGCATCTGACTCAAGGTTGCAGAGCCCTGAAGGCACACCTGGAAGACCTGGTAAGGTAAGGCCATTTGACGGACCTTGTAGATGAGGCCAGGACAAGGGAAGAGCAGGCAAGACTGCCTCAGGCACCAGCAACTCCACCTCCTTCAGCACAGCAACTGTAGGCAGGCGGACCTTAAGTAATTAATGTAATTAACTCGAAGGTCAATGAAAACGAAATACGGGGGGAGACCCAGAAGGTAAATCACTTGCAGCATGTGTACTAGGTCCGGCAAAAAAGACCTCGGGCCGAGGAGTGCTAGGGACCAGTAGTGTCCTTTACTGAAGCCAACCTGGAGATGGTACAACATCCGCACAACGATGCCTTGGTAGTATCCCTCCAGGTTGGGGAGTGCCAAGTGAAGCGTATCCTAATTAACCAAGGCAACTCCTGTGACATCATGTATGTCAGGTGTTACAAGGAGCTAGGCCTTCACCCAGATAATATGGAGCAATCCAATGGCCCAATGGTCAGGTTCAATGGAACGCCGATGTGGCCACTAGGAGCAGCAAGCTTGGAGGTACAGGCTGGCACCAAGAAGATAAAGACAGAGTTCACCATAATCGACACACCCTCCCCTTACAATGCTATCTTGGGAAGGCCATGGTTGCATGCAATGGGGGCTGTTCCTTCAACATTACATTAACTATTGCGGTTCCCAACAGAGCATAGGATAGAGGAGATCAGAGGGGATCAGCTGCAGGCAAAGAACTGCTCCATGGCAACAATGAAATCTACCTGCAGCATACGAGAACCAGAAAGGGCAGAGATCGAAGACGAGGACGTGGAAGTCCTAGAGGACTGTAGACACGCCCCGAGGGCTTTATGCTGTGCTACAGTTCAGACTCAAATGTCACAGTTCTTAATCTGATCTTAGAATCTACAATGTGAGATTGATAAATCACCAAAGAGTCTAAATCTAGAAAATCGTTTTGGAAAACTGATTTTTGTAAAGAAGTGTCAAACATGGACTGCTTTGCCAGATACAGAGTCACCACTTAAATATTTTATTTTGGGGGAATTTAGAAAACCCTGACTCGTTGCCTAAGGCCACGTGTCCGTCATCACCAAAGTTGCATCGGCTCGGGAACTTGGGTACGATTGGGGAAGGTCATCTATGAGCATCCCAGCTCGCCTGATCAAAGATCG